GCTAACTTTTTGGTGTATGATATCTCAATCTTTTTATGATGAACAAGGTTTTATGAAACTGTAACATCATTAGCATCTTAAGTTTTGAAAGAAAAAAGTGGCATTTAAAAGCTTATTGATGTTAAGTTTGCTGCTCAAATAGCTAGTGTCATTTCAGCGTTTCTCAAAATACATCTAAAACGTCACATTAGAGATTTTTCTGAGTAACAATATATAAAACAGTTAAGTGACAGGAACAATTTGGTAGAAGACTGTTTGAAATGTATCTAAGAGGAGAGATTTCTAAATTCTACTCTATGTTAAAAAGTGAGTCACTTTCCTTTCCCTTAGAATAAAAAAGTTGTCAACAGGCTGAAATTTTGCATCTTTCAGGCATATGTCTGACCAAGAATTGAGGTCATAAAGATTTCAAATAATTATAGACTTTCACATTTTTTCACTTGTACAGTAATACCAAGGAGAGCTGCCTTCCCAAGTGCTGATGAAATCTCTGCCAACCCTATCCATGATATCATAGTATTCTGAACCATGGGAAAAGAAAGGGTAAATTCTTTGGTTAGATATTATTTCAAGTCATGATTTAAATCTCTGCTACCCAATGATTCAAAGCGGTCAATGTATCCTTAAGCAAATGACGTGATTAACAATGCTCTTTCATAAACTTGATGAGATTTCCATTTTGAAATGAAACTCTCCCTCCTCCACTTCCTTAAATTGCCCTATGGCCGGTAGCACAGTAATCACATCAACGCAACCCATGCAAACCCAAGACTCCATCCTCTCCTCTGTCCTGAAAAGCCCCACTCAGCAGTTCGTGCCACAGCACCCTGCTGCAGCATCCCTGCACTTGAACTTGGGAACAGGCTTCCCAGGACTGCAGACAGAGCCCTTACCGCATTCCTTCTGAACCTCATCTTGCCTCTCGGGGGATTTGCTTCTGCCATCTCGCCTATACACAATTACACTCTTCTTCTCCAATTGTCAATATAACATTGATGAAATATGAACTGCTTCTTGGGGAGGATTTTAAAAAACGGCAGCCAGAAATCTCTATCAAACAAAGCTACCGTGGCCGCTTCCATCACCACCGTGGCAACGCTGAAAAAAAAAATCCACTATCCCTGATTAGTCAGCTGACTGATCCTTCCCTGCTGCTCATTGTCATTTGCAGCTGACACGTTCTCCCAATTACTTAGCCTGACTGAACCTTGTGGGTTAGCTTGCACTGGACTGCCCGGAATATTGGGCTGGTCCTGAGAGTGGAGGAAGGATAAGTCCCCTCTCCCCCAAGCAGTCCGTTCTCCTCTGCGCAACTGGATTTTTAAGGTGGAATGCTAAGAATCTTTGTGAAGGTAGCACTAACTGGTTGCTCTGCCTCCTGTCCTAGCCACGTCTGCGACTTTCATTTCAATTCTGCATGCCGTTACTTTTTATTAAATTCTAGGCTGGGTTTAAGATTAGAAAATGTTTGTGAAATTTTGTCTGGGTAATGACCTAGAAAGAATGCATGGACTTTCTAAGATGGACAGGATCTTTTCCCAAATCAACTCTTTCTCAAAATAGCTTGAAGAGAAAATTCTGAATAGTCCCACTGCAAAGAAATAAACGATTAAGGTGAGAGGTATGCTAATTACCCTGATTTGATCACTACACAATGTATATATAAATCAAAACAGGGTGTCCCGTTAGTTTGTACAATTATTATAAGTCAAATCAATAATGGTTTTTAGAATATGCCCTGTCATCAATTTTGCAGTATAACCTAACTGCTTTCACTCATTTTCGAATCCTAAATTCAGATCTTCAAATTAAATTACATTGAAGTTATTTAGGGCCAGCAAAATAGCTCAGCAGGTTAAAGCGCTTGCAAGCAGGCGCAGGGGCCAGGGGTTCATCCATGGGCCTGCCGTGCCCGCCCCGCCCCCCGCCCCCGGGCACGCTGAGATGGCAAATGAAACTGGGCGGTGGCAAGTGCCTGTAATCCCAGCTCTTGGGAGATTGTAAAGAGGCAAATCACTACGTCTGATCTGGTAGTGAGACTCTGAACACCCTATATACCCTTCCCTAAAATACAGAAAACTATTAAATAACATGATTATTTCATAGACAATGATTTAAAAAAATACACTACAGTTACCTGTCTACACGTGGTGCCCTTCACCAGAAACTCTGAGTGCCAACTTTTGCTCTTGACATTAGCTCATGTCCAGTATTTGCCTGTATTTTAGTAGCCAACAGGTACCAATGCTTGATATATAGTTCATATGCTGCTGAGCATGTGTATAGAAATTATGTAAAAAACCAGACAGTTAAGATGTTCAAAAGACACATAGCTAAACAATTGATAGCCAGTTACAGGTCATGAAAATTCCCTACTCTTGACCAGCACCATCATTTTGAGAGAAAAGAAAAGAAAACACCTTGTGCTTCAAACTCTTCACTGATTGGTCAGACAATGAAAATTAATTAATTTAATCAAGCCAGGCAGTGTTGCCCAAAAGTAAAAAAACTAGGCAGCAAAGAATATTTTGTCAGATATTCTATATTTAGTATGAAAGTGATGATTATAGGTGTGGAACAAAATGTATTCAACAAACCCAAAGACCAACCTAAGAAGCCATAAGGGAAATAGCTTTTATTTTATTTAGCTCCAATATTAGGGTCCAGTTATCTATGAAAGACAAATCTACTCACTCCAAAGAAATGCTACCTTTTCCTGAAAAGTACTGAATTTAGTTACATACCCAGAAGTCAATGGGAAAATCATAGAAATAGTAGCTAGTCAAGGTATCAATAGGAGTTTATGAAATTCCAATTTTTCCTCCAGCTCTTTTGGTTTCTTAACTATTCCACGTTTTGTTACCACATAATCTTTCTGCAATGCATATATCAATTTAATTTCATCATCTATGAGGCAATTATACTGATACTTGCCTCTATTATTTAAGCAGGGAGTAAGAAACACTAAGTAAATGCAAACACTTTGGAAAACACAAAAATATACAAATAAAATTTTTCTATTTTGGCTTTGTACCTTTTTTGGATATACTATTCTCTTCTCTCTGTTGTTTATGATTCAGCACTTTTATAAAACAAATAAATAAGAAAAACCACTTTGCTAATACCCAAGATGCGAAGTTCACGCTGGAGATGAATTATGATCTCATTGATTTTACCATGTGAATGCTAATGTTCGGGGCAGGTACTTTCTGATGATAGGAGCAGGGAACTGTGGTATGCTATTGCAGGACAGAGTGGCTGCAAGTAACAACAATGTACTGTCTACTTCAAAATATAGACGAAGGGTGAAATAAAAGATTGATAATAGGAAGCAGGGAGATCTTTTGTAGAATGACAAGGGGAAGAAGAGATGAAGATCGGGAAAGGGATGGAAGGATAAGTGGATTAAACAAATAGAATTGAAGACAAAGTGGAAATAAAGTTGTTACAAATGGGCAGGGGAATCAGAGTTGGAAGGAACAGGGAGAGATGGAAAGGGAAAAAACAAGAATGAAGATTTGGTATGTGCACATACAAACTTCCACAATAAATGTAATCATTATGGACCGCAAACATGCCCCAATAAATACAAAATGAATGAAAAGACTACCAGAAAATATTTTGAGTGTTTTTGCTGCAAATAAATGATAAATCTTTGAAGAGATAGGTATGTTTACCCTGACTCATATATATATATGAGTGCACAGGTATCCAAATATCATGTGGTACCCCATAAATATGTACAATATTTAGGATTTATGTATCAGTTTTTTAAAAACTCCCTACTGGATCACATATTGCTCAGTTTTCTGATATAAGAAAACTGTGATTGAAACAAAAAATATTACGTACAAGGAAAAATATTGCAAGTGGTTGATGATGTGGGAATCTTAAAGAAAAAGAAATATTGCTTCCCAGAAACTCTGGTCTGATAAAAGGAGTGGGCCACATGAAACTTCCACAGACAATTCCAATCTTATCAACTCAGGAGTCTGCGAGCTCTTTATCACCCTCATTTGGGGAGGGAAGGGATTATTGGAAAATTGAACCCAGGGCCTGTGTGCTGAGCTATGTCCCTGAGCCTTTCTTTCATTTTTCAGTTTGGAGATAGGGTTTTGCTAGGTCACTAAATTACCCAAGATGGGCTAGAACATGAGATCTTCGTGCCTCAGCCTCCCAGAGCACTGGGATTATAGGGGTGAACCACCCATGACTGTATCTTACAAGGTGACTGCATCCTGACAGCCTGATAATGTAGAAAGCCATCTTGACTGTGGACACAGTTGTATTTCTCCTGTTACTGTTTGTAGGAGCACTGTTCGTTTCTCCTGTCTCCTGTCTACTGCCTCCTGTCCCTGTCCCTGTCCCTGTCAGCTAGAGAACAAGGTTCCAGTGTGGGAGACACATCTTTTCATAGGTGACTCACTTCCTTACCTTTTCCAAGGAAATAAACAAGTCTAGAAAGATGTACACCAGCCAAAGTGTTAAAATATGCTTATTTGTGAGTGGCAGGGTTACTTACTATTATTTCAAATGTTCATCTTTATGCCTTTTTCCATAAAAATGAGGATACAACACAGCTATTTCCATTTTTTAAATTCCTGTAAAAACTCGCCTTTCTCTAAAAAGACATACAGAACCATGGGGCTTTGCTCATTGATAACCCAAACCACTAACTAGTCATTCTTTCACATTCAGTTTGGCATTATGGGATTTTTTCACCGTGCTCATTTTCATTGTTTTTGTTTTCGTTTTTTTTCCTTTGTGGTAACAGGGATTGAACTTGGAAACTTGTACTTGCCAGGCAGGTGCTTATGTCACTGAGCCATCTCTCTGGCCCCTGCCATACTCTACTATACAAATTCTTCTTCCTGTTTTCCCTTCCTATTACCTCAGGCTTTTACTATCCCCATCAGTATCGAAATAATCCATGCTGCCCAAACAGAAAGTATAAATTAAGACAAAACTAAGTAATTTCTGCACAGTGCATAAGGACTCACTGAGATTTTCTGAAGAGAGATTTTGAGAGATGACCACGTATCCAATCTTCGATCCAGAATAAGGGTAAACTGGGAGTCAGATTCATTTTGCCTGTAAGATAAGGAGAATCAACAATGTTCTGTTAGTAATAACCGAAATCTGCTATATATGTCTTTATTTTTGAATACTTCATTCTCATTTGATATTCAAAGACAGATTTAGTATTATAAATGCTATCTTAAAACACCAATTTAATTCTCCATTCCTCTACTCTCTACTTAGATTTTTCTTTTTCAACACTCCTGCAATCTTTAAATAGGAAAGGGATGATGTAATGAACATAGGTCGCTAAAATGGAGTTAGATTATTGAAATCTTGGGCATGGGAAAACCCAAAGGCAGTGCGGTCCTTCATGGCATCAGATTTAACTTCATGGCAATCCATCAAAAGTTAGTGAACCATTCATTCAGAAAAATGCTATGAAATACATTTTTGTATTTCTGGTCTGTTTCTTGAGGAAAATAAGTTTAACAGATAATGTAACTTTTATTTGCCCTAAAAAGATCACCTTTCAGCTTCAGTGACTATACTATAAAGCACTCTTCTAAGAGTTGATTTTTTTGTTCATAAGACTCTTCAATTGTCACCACCCTAGATTTCTGTTTTCTTATTCCTCAGTTCTAGCAATTGGAAAATGCTTCCTTGAAAAAGTTTGTCTTCAACATAAAAATTCTAATGCTAATATCTGTTCATACTTGATCTCAATAATATTCTTATACTTAATTAGCTAATAATAATAGCTACACTAGGCCATTATTCAGTTACAACATTCAAATGGACATTTAATAAAAAGCAAATTGAAACTATGTAATGAAATACTATACCTTACAATAGATGTCAGATAAGTAAGCACTTTTGCTATTACTTCTTCTGGTATACATCTGAAGTTACAGTTTTCTGGAAATGTAATAAGCCAGGCATTGTCCTTTCCCCGGCCCCCTAAAAGAGGAGAACAAAACCAACCAAGTTAATGTACATGACAACAGCATAAGGAAGAATATTTCAGATTTAAAGACGGTTTGGAATCAATGAAGTTTCTTTAAGAGTGAGGATCTCCACATAAACCAAAATAGCACAGAGCTCCTAGCACTTTAAACACTGGCAGATTGCATGAAATATGTATAATAAGCATAGCTGAAGAGACGGTTGGCCACCCAAGTTGGACAGCCAAGGGAACCTGGGAAATAACCACGTTGCTAAATTCTAAATGACTGATCATCAGCCTGACAAGTAGAAAACTGGATAAAAATTAGCCTGATAAAGTCATGATGAGCATGAAAAGCTACATGGTATGATCTATAGGAAGTGAGTGAGGAGCTAATATATTAGTGAAAGAAACAACAGAAGAAATGATAACAGCAGCGGTAGAAGGATTTTAGTTCAACACACAGAAAGACCCCACATTCTGTATGGGCTCAAATTCAAAGTGCAACCTGGATGAGGCTCGCAGTACAGGTGGGAGAGGAAAGTAAGGCAGCTGCCAGTCCCACCTCCCAGGCCCTTGCGCTGTGATGCTGGAGGGCTTGAGGGCTTGCATCCAGCCGTACCTTAACCAGCTGTGTGACCCCCACCCGGAGGAAGCACATATCCAGGGGTAGTAGGTGAAGGTGCCCTGAGCTCATGTCCACAGTGCTCTAGAAAAGGGATGAGTGGACTGGCCAGATAGCTCAGTGGACTAAAGTGCCTGCTTAGGCAGAGTGCAGTGGCCAGGGTTTTATCCCCAGTGTGCCATGCTGGTCATGCCCTTTAGGTGCTAAAATGGGGATTGACACTGGGCGTGGTGGCGCGCGCCTGTAATCCCAGCACTGGGAGACTGAAAACAGGAGGATCACTACGAGTATGATCTACGTAATGAGACCCTGTATTAAAATACAAAAAAACAAAACAACAACAACAACAAAAAAAACAGAAAGAAAGAAAAGGGATGAGTGTTACAGGAATTCTTAATCAGTAATCATCCTGATCTTTCATTTTGAGGTAAATTAGCATCTTGCCACCTGTCCCCCCACCTAGCCCTGTAGCTTTACCCAGCCTGGAAGATGGGACACATGGCTGAAAGCCCCCAAAGTACAGAGGTGAGCTACACTCGTGTTTAGGCAGCGTGCCCCATACCTGTGCACAGAGCAGGCGCTCCACAATGTTACCTGCTGAATGCAGTGTGAAATTTAGTTTGGGAAAAAAGTTGCAGGGTGGTCTTTAATGGAGCTTACTAATAGAAATTTTTAATAGATTTAGTTGTATTTCTTATTTGGCTGAATTTACGTGACTGTATGAAGGTTTTTACATTCAATGTATAATAAAAATGTGACAAGTGCAAAGGAGTTAAAATGGAATGATAGAAACAATGCAAAAGAAGACAGAAATGGAAAAAATGCAAGATCAAATGACAGAAAGAGAAAACAAACACCAACATGGTAGCTTTAATACTAACCATATGATTAATTACATTAAATTTAAATAATCTCAACATTACATTTAGAAGTTAGAGATCATCAAACTGGATTTAAAAAAAAAGCAGGACTCAACCATATGCTGCCTACAGGAAAATACACTTTAAATATAAAAGTACAAATACACTAAAAGCAATGCAAAAACAAGGAGAAAGAGGGCATCAGGGAAACTGCAAAGCCTCTGCATCAGAGCAGGAAGCATAAGGATGGTTCAGTTCAGAATGTAGTTTAGAGAACACTGAAGGCCAGGGCTGAAGCACTTGCCAGCACCCATGAGACCGTGAGTTTCATCCCCAGCACTCCCACCCCCCAAGATTATCAGTGTCTTCTGGTGTTTTGTATTATTGTGTGCAGGTATTGTTTTGTTTTGTGTTGTTGTTGCGGATTTAGGGCCTCTTGCACGATAAGCAAGTGCCCAGGAGAAACTTGCCAATTTTAAAAGAGAACCTAACATACCACTAACTTTCCTAAGACAGAAGGGTAGCCCACACTTATCCTGGAGGCATACATTCCAAGATCCTCAGTGGCCCGAAACCAAAGACAGTATTTAATCCAGTGCAATTTTTTTCCCTATATGCCCTGCAGGGTTGCATACCGTATCAGAGTTAATCTATCCTCCCATGCTCTGTGCCCTGATGGCTCCTCTGCAACATGATGTCTTTTTGGCAGTGCAGTGAATGGAACCCAGGACCATTACAGGCTGGGCAAGCACTGTATCTCTGAGCTGCAGCATTAGGCTGTGCATCACTATTTTTGCTCTTTAAGGCACTTATTAAGAAACATAAGAGTTATGTGAACCCAAGTATTGTGATACCATGTCAGTCAACCTGGTGACTAAGACAGTTACTGAGTAATGAAGAGTCTGGTCATTTATACAGCAATCATATGCTGCAGGAAAGGATGATTCACATCCTAGGTTGCACAGAGTCCGACAGTAAATTTCCTCGCATCACTCAGAAGGGCCATAATATTAAAAACATGAATTGTTTCTAGAATTTTCTCTTCAATATTTTGAGACCATACTTGATCAAGGGTGAATGAAACTTCATAGAGCCAAACTGCAGATAAGGAAAGAATACTATGTAACACATTTTTGTCCTTTATTTAAAAAATGTAAAGACCCATTAATTAAGTGCCCACTAATTCACACTTACAACTAATTATCATTAAAAAGCAGAGGCCAGACTGAACTGTACAGTTAGGATCACCTGTAAAGTAAATGTTTGTTTAGTAAATCGAGCAGGAGGATGTCACTTCAGGAGAAAGAAATATTTAAAGGAAATGTTAGTTTCCCATATTTTCAACACACAAGAGGTACTCATTTACATAAAAGTGATATTACATACAATGGTAATTTTTTCTTTTTTCACTTTATTATAAACATGTTTAGTAGTATCATTCAAATTACCCTAATACTTACAAAGAATTTGCTTTTTTTAAACAAAATTTTGCCAAGACTCTGACAAGGAGCAAAAGGGGTGGGATGGTTTACCCTAATTATGTCTCTAAAATGTACATTCATGAAGGCTGGGGATATAGCTCAGTGGCATAAGTGCCTGCCTGGCAAGCACAAGGTTCTGAGTTCAATCCTCTATACCACTAAATAAATAAATAAACAAATTTATATATAGTTCTATTTGTAAATATATATGTATATAGTTATTTATTGCCATTATTCATAACAAACCAAAGGCAGAAGCAATCCAAGTACTGTTGTCTATCAATAGAGGAATGAATAAACAATATGTAGTATATACACATAATGGAATATCATTTGGCCTTAGAAAGGAAGAAATAATCTGGCACATGAAAGAATGTGGATGAAATGTGAGGACAGTACGCTAAGTGAAATAACCTGCTCACAAAATGACAAATACTATGTGATTCCACTTGTGTTGGGTATCTAGAATCATTAAATTCACTGAGACAGAAAGAACATGGCCATTTCCAAGGAGTAAAAGGAGGAAAAAAACAGAAGGGGGAGTTCACTATTCAGGTACAGTTTCAATTTTGAAAGATTAAAAGCATTCTGAGGATGTAAAGTGGTAATGGCTACACAAAAACGCGAATATACTTAATCCCGCTGAACTATGCTCTTAAAAAATGGTTGGAGTGGTAAATTTCTTAACTTGTTTTATGATTTTTATTAGTGCATAGTTTGAGTACATAATATTTATTTTGTGTATTTTACCACACTATTCAAAACTCACATAAGCACATATATGTATTTGAGAGAATTAAGTTTCTTTATCATTCATAATTGAAATTGTAACAACAAAAGTAAATACAAGCTGCACAATTCCAGTGACTGGCTAACATTTGCAGTAAACCTTTGAGTAATCAAAGATACAAAGGGGAAGAAAAGGCAAATGTCAAGTAAGCTACCCAGACTGCTATCATCTCTCCCAGCCTGCACCTACCTAGGAGATGGCCTTATTCCTCCTTCACAGGCATCTGAACACTTGTCTGAATGATACATGCCCCAAAGTGGTAAGGTTGGTCTTAATTACATATTTAAACATCCTTAAAACCTCTAAATATTCTACAAATATTCTACTAATAGTCCCTTTGTTTGGCAACTAGATATGCAATAAATTAAAGTTTATTAAAATAATGCTTCTTGGGCCGGCCAAATAGCTCAGTGGATTAAAGCACCTGCAAGCAGGCACAGGGGCTGGGGATTTGATCCCTGGGCTTGCCTTGCTGGCTCCGCTCCTGGGGCACACTGAGACAGCATTTGAGCCAGGGCGTGGTGGCGCACGCCTATAATCCCAGCACTTGAGAGGCTGTAAACAGGCAGATCACTACAAGTCTGATCTAGTAGTGAGACCCTGAATACCCTGTAGACCCTTCCCTAAAATACAAAGAATTAAAATAAAATCAAATAATGCTTCTTAAATGTGTGCATATGCACAGAGAAAAAGAACTATATCATACATGGCCAACAAACTCTGTGGATAAATTCACACATTTATCTGCACTACATACATGAGAAAGTTTGCTTACCAGACAGGAAGGCGATGTCTTGCATTAAGAAATGACTGATGTCCCTCGCACAATATATCAGCTCTTTTTCTGTAAAAAATGGGAAAGGAGAAACAATTATAATAAATTACAGCTGGAAATAGCCATGGTTATCTATTAAGACTAAAAGAACTCTGGTACTCTAGTGCATCTGTCTCTCTGGACGCAACACGAATCTCTGCCACCTCCTCTCCGCTACAGGCCAAGGAAGTCACACTCCCAAAAGCAGCACTGGGCACACAGGAAGGACCAGCAGCCTAGTTCACAGACTATCTACCCAGGAAGCAAAGTACTCTCGCTTGGCAGAAAGTCAAGGACAAAGGTGGAAACTGCAGAACATCCGGATGTATTTGAAAGGGTGGCAAGTCACGTGGAGACACTGTAACACATTGTCTTCTGCTTGTGATAATGTTGCTTTTTTTCTACAAAAGTGTTCTAGCACTAACAAAGAACATTTAAGATATTTTGTCTTACTGGGTCTTCAAAATACCCCTGAAGCAAGTATTATTACTCCTTACAAGTCAGGAGGAAAGTTCAGTATAGTGAAATGCCATGTAGGTTTCTGAGTCACATAACTCTGGATCCAAATCCAGCTTGCTGTATTTGCTAGCTGTGAAAATAGGGGCAACTTACTTAGGTTCTTTGAACCTCAGGTTCCTCATCTGCAAACTGGACATAACAACATCTATCTCATAAGGCGCTATGCCAATGGAATGTAAGATAGCTGGCATACCAATAGGTGTTAAGCAAACAATAGCACACTAACTCATTTTTTATCATTCCATATGAAACAATCTGTAGCCTTGTTCAATATGTTTTAGCTGTCCCAAATCCTAAGTGTTAACTTGAAGTGTTTAAATCTACTGAACTCTACGGGCACTGGAAATCAAAGTCCATTATCTATCTCTGTTCCATGAACAAGGATAACTTTTTAAAAGAAATAGGTCACCGAACCAGGCTATTTTGGATTGCTGGTTTTAATGCCTGTGGTTCCACATCTCTTACTGATGCATTATTTTCCACCTGTTCCCTGCTGAAAAGAGCCTTCAAAGTCCTGGTCTCCAGTGGTGTCAGGCCGGTAGTGCATCACCATCCCTAGTGCTCCTCATATCACACCATATGGATATGGTTTTTCAAGGCCAATCCTTCTCCAGGGAATTAAACAAGCTCTGAATGAGTCACTCTGGGCAGTAGAATATGGTGTCTGTTACAGAATGAGCTCCCCACATTTGAGACACAAAACAATTAATTGACAAATTTATTTTAATACAGCACAAGTCATTTAAAACCTGCAAATGATCAGACCATAAAAATCCATTTTTAAAAACATAATTAACATGCAGAGATTTATATTCAAATGTTCAGGCTCCTGGTATATCACAGGCCAACGAACACATAGTGACTTTGCAATTATTCCTTCAAGGCTGTGCTTCCTCACACAAAAGCATATATTTAAATAGTCCTGAATATGTAACTCACTGATAGTTTTAGGCCTGGAGACACGGCAGAGGGATTATGGGAGGAGGACAAAAATATTCCTACATAAGAAGAGACTCAACTTTCTCCCCTAGTTGACCAGTATGAATACTTCGAAAGATAACTTGAAGAATTTTATGTCTGATGGCAGATCTGAAAGTACTAATGTACACAACTCACTTGTACCCATACCATTCAGATTCTTGCATAGCTATAGAAATTAGGTCTACTTACCTGACAATTGAGACATCTATGTAACAGGACAGGATTCAAGAGAGCGGCTGGGAGTAGGAGTAGCAGAGCAGGACCATATGCTAGCTGAGCCACCGATTGCTCCGTAATCAATTCCCACCCCTCCCCCGTGACCCCTCCTTTTGGGAGTGGGGGCAGTATAGCAATGCTAACGTCTCTCACATTTTATGAGATCCAACAAACAAAATCTACAGATATAAAAAAAATTGATATTTTCTGTTCCTAAACTGTCTCATGCAACTGTGCCAGTAAAATAATATTTCCATAAAAATAAAAAAAGAATAAAACAACCACAAAAGAAGATGTTGCTACTTTAAGAAATTATCAAGTCTTGATTTGGAAACAAAATGGACGGGAAAAGAACCCAGGGACAGCAACAGAATACATAAAGTTATCTCTGAGCAGCCTTAGAGGACAAGGTGAGATTGTTCCACAGAACAAACAAGAAGAAAAAGAGTACTAAACAGGAAGTTGTGACCCTGTGTTACACGTTTCTTTGTATCCGACCCTCTTACATTTACCTAAATTTCCTCCAAAATCCAAAAACAAGGACAAATGAGATTTATAATGTTTCTCTTGCTGACCCTTTAAACTGCTTTATGCTGGAGACTGAGAAATAAAAAGCCTAGCTCCTCAAAACTGAATCAACCCATATTACAGCGGGTTTCTTGTTGGCCAGATAAACACTTCATAGGAAGCTTTCAAGCTGTTCTATGTGGGAAGTTCAATTAAGCACACATAAAAGGCACGCATTCTCCTTACTTTGGAGAAGTTGTCAAGCCCAAAAAGCGCTGGCTGAGAACTCAAACTAAGGGATGTAACTCAGTAGATAATCTGACAAACAGTAGATAATCTGCAAGTCTCATATACTTTACCCCAATGGAACATATCTTTATTAGTTCTCATGAAGAATCTCATTCTTATGCAATCAGACACAATTAGGCATGAATTAGAAACAAATGGTAAGGAAAGTACTTCCAATTCCCTCATTCCGCCATGTACGCATGACAAGAAAGCAAGAGTCAGGCTTCCATTACCCGGAAATAAGTGGTAGACATACCATTGATATTTCTTTCTTAATAAAAAGGCAGTTGTTGTGCAAATACAAGCTCAAAATTCAAATATGAAGTTTTAAAGTCCTGTAAAATATGGAAATTCACAGATTTGGGATGATTCACAGAGGAAAAGAAGGTACATCCATGCAATTAGTTGCTCCATTTTGATGTCACTTGCAGAAGTGCAGACAGAACAGGTGTCACCTTGATACACAATGTGCTTTAAAATTCACAGATTTATTTTTTGTTCATTTACTTTTTAAACAAATATTTATTTAGCACCTGTTACATGCCAAATACTATGCTCCGCTGCTCTCTGATGGATGCTCTAGGGGACAGTAAAGGTTCACAACCAAATTAGTTTTTGACGTCCTAAAGACTAAACATAGCAACATTTCTCAGCAAATACCCATACACATTGTGACTCCTTTGGTATGGCCTCGGTATGCAGTGTTTTCCAAACCTATTTAATCACGTAATCCTTTGGTAGGTTGGTTATTTGACTTTTTCCCCTCAGAGAAAGAAGACAAATAGAAAGTAACAGAAAGAACTATAAATACTCTATAGGAAGAGGCATGTTGTTTTAAATGTCAGCGTTATCTGCAGATGAAATGACTGCCATTGTAGATAGAGAAATCCTTTCTCATTAGTACCATTCAATCATGCAATTCTACAGTGAGTTTGATACAGAGGACAGTCAAGCTTCTACTGAGGAGGAATTAATGCTCTTTTTTTCTTGTATTTTAGGGAAGGGTCTACAGGGTGTTCAGGGTCTCACTACTAGACTGGACTCCTAGTGATCCCCCTGTTTACAGCCTCTAAGAGCTGAGATTACAGGCACGCACCACCACGCCCAGTCTCAATTGCCCTCTCAGCACACCCCTGGGGGCGGGGCCTGCACAGCAGGCCCAGGGATGGAACCCCTGGTCCCTGTGCCTGCTTGCAGGTGCTTTAATCCACTGAGCTATTTGGTCGGCCCTCCTTGATGATCTTTAAGGTCCCATTTCTCTAAGACTCTGCACTTCCATGATTGAGGTACAGATTCCCATCCAAGGGAACTTAAATTCTACTGAAGTTATTAATGACTCCTGTGGAGAAAATTATCATTTAAAAGTGAAATAAATTGGTATCTACAAGCCTTAACATTTTATCAGAAGTGTTTTTCCTTCAGATCCTGGAAGGAATATAATAATGATCATTCCAAGCACCAAGCTTTGATTTCACAGAGATACCCTCTTGTGTTCATTTATCCCAACTGTAGAGTTTTTATTCATACTCAACACAAGAGCTTGAATTCTGACCCATAATCCACACACATGCCACTTTGTCCAAGCACAACAGGGTGAATAAACTGCTTAAAAGAGCAATGCCTCTATTCACACATGCTTTCCTAAAAATAAGAGGCAAAAATGGAGTGTAAACAAATAAAAATAGAAAGTAAAATAAAGGAAATGTCAACCAGAAAGATCATAGCAACAAGCCCACTGCCACCACCAATCTGATAACAGGGTTTGGGGGGAAGGTAGTAAATGATTAACATTAAATGGCATTAGACAGGTACTGCACAAGGCATTGTAAGCTTGGTTTCTCTGGTCCTAGAAACCATCCTCCAAGGTGGGTATTAATAAAACCCTCTTCTTGAATGTGACAAAACAGGCTAAGAAGGACTATTATGAATAAATTTATTTATTCAAGAGACTCAGACTGAACAATTCCAAGTGTGAGGCACTGCTCACACTCAAACTAGAATCCAGTAGATTTGGAAAGGTTTTCACATTGTCATGTGTCTGGTTCCCTAACCTTCAGACAGACCAACTAAAATCTGTACTCAGAAGAATATGCTCAATTAGCTCTCATGCAAATTATTAACCAGCTATGGCTTCAAAACTCATATTTTCTTCCAAGGGCAGGTTTCATCCCAAACCATATCAAGAATGTTTATAAACAAAATTTTGTAAGAAGCTTTATTATTTTTATAGCTTGAAATTCTTAATGATGCTTACTTCTAGCAATCATTTCTTTGAAAGTTCACTGTTGCTGATGGATAAATAAAATTAGATTCTATTGTGAGTCTTAAATCCTGCTGGAAGACAGATGGGATTCTATGAGTGTAATTTTTTCCTTTCAATCTGAATGACAGATACCCTATACCATCTGTAAACAGTAATGCCTTAGCACATGCAACAAATTGAAATGCTGCCTTGACAAATGTTACATTTTAAAAGGTGGAAACATTACA